TCATCTTCTTGTTTCTTTGCAAGAGTATTAAGCCTAGATGAAGCTTCATTTTTGTTTCCTTTAGATTGCTCTCGAATATTATAGTTTTTTTTATAAACACCTCTATATTTTGCAATAGTGCTCAATATCATTGTCAAACACATCATCTAGAGTCATGCTATTGCCTTTGCCTGTTGAAAACATCATCTAAGCATAAGCTTAGATGAGGCTTATGCCTATTAAGATTTTTGGATGATCAAATAAACATGTAGTCATGTACCTTTTGAAGTTTTAGCCTTTTGAGATTTTTGGAGAATGGGAGAAACATATACCTTTTAATGCTTTTAGGCTTCTGAGATTTTTGAAGAACTAGAGAAACATGTTCGTTCTAAGGCCTTTGACTTTTGAGATTTTTTGATAAAAAGGACCAAAATTGTCCCTTGACTCTTTATGAAGGATCAAAATGATCTACAACTATATTAAATGACAATTTTAATCTCTCAACTTCTTAAAGAAGAATCAAAATAACCCCACCATGGGATTATTTTTATTCCTTATAAAAAAACTTGAGGAACCAACATGATCCTATAATATAATTGGGGACCATTTTGGTCCTTCATAAAAAGTCAAGGGATCATTTTTTTCCTTTTCCCTTTTTAGATAAGTGATGACTTTTTTTAACAGCTTGCTCGTATGGAGTCTTTCTAGCAAAGACTATGTCTACTACTAGTTTCGCATCAAGGCTACCTCATAAGGATGTAGGCTACCTCATGAGCATGTCTCTCATGGGTTATGAGTGGAGACCCTATTTGACATTTGCTCTCATAAGGTCTTTCTAGTGAGGACCATGTTTACTACTAGCTTCCCATTAAGGCTACCTCATGGGTGTGCCTTTCAGGGATTTTTGTTAGATGTAATGTAATTCATAAGAGGAAAATTTCATTAATAATTTGAATAAATACTTATTTGAAAGATGTATATATATCTCCAATAGAAGTCAAAATTTGAATTATTTTAGGAGCTGTTTGGTTTGAAGTAAATTGAGTATAATGTATTTCAAATATAGGATTTTTTAAAATATTAATTTGTGGTCTGAAGTAAAAGAAATGTTAAAAATTTGAAATATTTGAAATTCATCATCTTGTTTAATTTTGGTGTATTTGGTAATCATTAGGTTTGGATGATTTTCAATTGCACTATAATTATAAAATTGTCACCGCAGCTCATTGTTAGCAACTGCCCGACGCCATCACCCACCAACACATGCCATCATTGTTGCTCATTATTGTTGGCCACCAATTGTCACTCGTCGCTGCCCACCTATGCTGGTGCCGTCATCCATCACCAACCACTAGTTGTCGCCGCTGCTTGTCGTCTTTGTTTGCCACTCACCATTTGCAACAACCACTGCTGGCCACTACTGTTGCCTCCTGTCTTTGCCTATCGTCGGTTGCCGCTATCGCTTTCGCACTGTTGTTGGGCTTTAATTCCATTCATTTACTTCAAACCAAACAAAAAAGTAATTACTTGCATTTATTTTACACTCATTTAAGCAACTCCTAACATTTCAAATATATTGTATTCCTTTTATATTGTTTTCTACTTTATTATGCATCATTCTTAACCCAACCAAATGCCCCCCTTTAGAAACTCTAATGAGTTCGACTTTTTTGAGTTGCTTCAGTGATGGAATCTTTCAGTGTATAAGGGATGCCACTCATATTCAATATTCTAATAATTTTTTTCCCCATGACTCTTGATTTTCTCTATTTTGAGGCTTGTGTTGCCGCTCATATAAATAATGACTAGATATTTTTGACAAATTAGATGTTCAATCTTTTCTTTCAATTGTAAATATTTTTCTATTGAATGCCCTTTTGAACGTCAAAAGCAATAATATTAGGAATTATTTTTACCATTTAATTTTTTTTGAAGTTTTGACCTTAGGTATTCGAAATTATTTTTCTTTATTAGGGTGTTAGACTTGAATGTATTTAATAGCATATAATTGGATGATTATGGCTAAATTTGATAAGTATAGTAGCTCTGGTCTCGTAATTGTTGCTTCTATTTTTTATTGAGGAGATTGATCAATTTCTTATGGTGAAGTCTCACATTTTTTTTATGATTGTTAGAATTGCTTTCGATGAGCGTCAATGGTCTCATCAATAGTTATTTGTACTTCTATCTGATGAATAAGATCAACATAGGAGAGAATTGTCTCATGCATGGATGAGACATAGAAAGGTCCGGTGCAGAGACCTCCAAGAAAAATATCTTGTAGTATCTATGGATCTACTCTCATAATTTGATGAGCTTTGAAAGAGAATATTTGAAAATACTCTTTAAGAGTATTGCCCTCATTTTGATGAATTTCAGAGGGATTGGAGGATTCTTTGATGATCTTTCAATGGGCATTAAAATATACAACAAAAAGCCCGGCTAGATTAGCAAAATTATAAATAGTTTGACCAGAGATAGTAGAATCATGTGCGAGCTTAACCCTTATGAGATGAAGAGAAGATATGGCAGAAGAATGCATTAGAAGCTTATTGAATGCGCATGATGGCCTGTAGTAGTCAATATGCTCGTAGGGGCTAGAAGTCCCATTATATTGATCAATGAAATATAACTCAAACCTTGTTGGAATATAATATTGGAGAATTGCATTAATTAGGGATGAAGATGCTTGAAAGCTACGATGAGAGGTAAATTAGTTTATTTACCTTAAAGGGAATTCCTCATGAACAAGTTGTCATAACTTATCTCTTATAACATTTTGAGGGGCATTAATAAAGTGATGTTGATGTAAGTTCTCTTGATTTGTGGAGGATTAAAGATTGACAGAGTGACATGGGAATGATAAATTGAATTAACAATGTGCAAGAGATCTTAATGAGATTGTGGTAACTATCACATGTGGAGGTATGCCTAAGTGGCATCAAATGCATCATTTCCAAACTATTGTTGATTTTATGGTCGGAGAAGTCCAACGTGTTGTTATAGTGCTCTTTGTTGTTTAGCCTGCTCTAAGAGTAAGAACATTTCAATTTGAAGTTCTTCCATCATACTCATAGAATCTTCTAAAGTGAGGCCTAGATGTCCTTCATCACCTAGATTGTGCCATATTTGATTGAGGGATTAATTGTAAACTGTTAAAAAAATATTTATAATATATTGGGAATGATTAACACATATAGGGCTAAATTGTTATATGTTAGAAAATTTCTAGTGGTAGAGCGTTTGATATGTTGGCCTTGTGCACAGACCCAACACGCACATATAGAAGTTATAAGAGATATTATAGTTTTTTATGCAGAGAACTCAAGAAGGGGAAAACCAGTGGACTTGACCTTATTGCAATACTCCACTATGTAATCATTGATACAAGAATCCACTATTCTTTACAATTGTAGAAGATGAGATTACACACAATTAGGAATAATAGTCAAATTCCCATTGTAGTTTTTACAAAAGTCAAATGTCCGCATGCAGATAGTTGAAATTGAATAACAACATTGGACGTTAGTAATTAGGTGATATTAGATGGATAACATAAGGTTGGTGACCGTAGTGGCAATCATTGATGATGGTTGTCGGTGAAGACCGTTGAGAAATGTAATAGAGTTCTTCAATTCTCTCAACTGCCAAACTCCTCTCGTATAGAAAATTAGGTCATATTTATAGCTTTTTAGAGGCTTACTTTGATACATATGTAAGAATCCAAAATTCTTCATTAAATGATTTATTGTTCTTTTTTATCACGAATTATTTATCTAGGATTTGAATGTCTTAATGATTTTGTTCTCATTGGATTCGTTTTGTCTAGTGGCTCTATTTGATTATAATCATGCAAGATTTTAAGATTGTTGGGTTCTTCAATTAATGTACTAAAGCTTCCAAATATATTTTATGTGCTTGATTTGATCTAATTTGGTGTTTGATTAAATCAATTGTGGTGTTGATGGATTCATCTCATTGAGATGTTTAGTTTGACTATATGCTTTTTGAAATTTGAGGTCCAATGATCCCAAATTTAATTATGAAGTTTCCAATTCAATACTTATCTTGAGATTTGATCGGTTGAATTTTTCGGAGATGTGTCAATTTTAAAAACTAAAGGCATTATATATTAATTGCATAAATAAAATAAAGAGAAAAATGCCAAAATGACCCCCGACTATTTTTATATGCCAAATTTAGTTTTAGACTATAAAGATGCTCAGTTTAATCCTTTGACTTCTCAAATATGATAAGAAATAATATTTTTTTTAATTGTTTTTTATTTGATTTGAATAGCGAAAGGACTACTTTGAATTATATTTGAGGAGTTGAGGGGCTAATTGGACACGTAAGATAGTTTGAGACCAATATGGCTCCCTATAAATAGTCCATGGACCATTTTGGCACTTCTATGATAAAATAAATGTTAAATACATAGAATACAAGTCATAATGATAAATTTTGTTCTTATGTTAAAGAATTTAAAAAACAAGCATCATAAAAAAGTTAATCTAACCAAATTAATTATTTAACATATTTCATTATTCTCTTTCAAAATTATAAGCATCTTCTTAGCATCCAAAACTTCTGCAGTTTCATCATTTCCTTAACTACTATTTCATTTAACTCAGAATATGTATGTCATTTTATTTTAGTATCACTATTGTAATAAAAAATATCTGCAATGTATCTGACATTTGTCAGTTGTGTGTTTTATTCTTCTTGCTTGCTCTTTCTAATCAGTGGACAACTTTCTTAAAACTAACAAATATGCACTTTTAACAAATAATGCCATCTTTAGAAGAAAATTTTTGCTTCCTGACAGATGAGTTAGGTTTCGGTTGGGACGGCTTTCTTCTGGCTTCTTAAAACGGCTTTTTAGTACAAAAATTAAATTTTTTTAACTAGGAAGCCGGTTTAAGAAGCAGTAAGAAAGTCATCCCAAATGAAGCCTTATTCTGCATTGCCTTCTCCCTGTTCTTATGAATTTTTTTTCTTTTCCTTTGAGTTTATCACAGTTCCACATGGTTGAGGCGACCTATCGCGTTCGAGAGGCGAGAAAGCAACTGTACAGAGAGAATGGAAGGCATCCCAACAATGAGGAAGTTGCAAAGGCAGCAGGGTTGTCGATGAGACGACTTGCCACCGTACTACTAACTCCTAAAGCTCCAACCTCTTTGGACCAAAAGATAGGATTCAACCAATCTCTAAAGCTCTCGGTTTGTCCTATAACTCATTCTATTCCTTCTTTTGGTAGAAAACATTCAAATGGAAGGGTCATTATAGTCCCAAGATATAAATTTATTCAATTTAAACCCTTAATTTCTCAAATATGATTCAAAATAGCCCCATATCGGATTATTTGGATCATATTTAAAAATTCAGGGGATTATTTTGAATCAGATTTGAGAAATCAAGAGACTAAAGTAAACATATAAAATAGTTTAGAACTAAATACCCCCAAAAAGACTATGTAGACCATTTGATCTGTTTCTCTATCATTTTTGCTTCATTTGGGAAGACTTTCTTGCTACTTCTTAAAGCAGTTTTTTTGTACAAAATTTTTTATTCTAAAAAGCTGCTTTAAGAAGCAGTAAGAAAATCATGCTTCGTTTGGGGTAGCTTTCTTACTGCTTCTTAAAGCAGCTTTTTAGTACAAAAATTTAAAGTTTTGTACTAGAAAGCTACTTTAAGAAGCAGTAAAAAAGCTATCCCAAATGAAGCCTTAGTCATCAACAATTGTCAGCAGGCAACAGCTCTAAAGAGTCTCATATTCCTACAGGAAGTAATTGCAGATCCAGCAGCACAGACATCAGAGGAGATCCTAATGAGACAGTTCATGAAACTGGATTTGAACAAAGCTCTTGATAGCTTAAATCAAAGGGAGAAGCAGGTTGTGAAGTCCAGATTTGGCCTGGAGAATGGAAGGATGAACACACTACAAGAGATTGGAGAGATGATGGGTGTTAGTAGGGAGAGGATTCGTCAGATAGAGTCCTGTGCCTTCAGAAAATTGAAGAACAAGAAGAGAACTAAAAATTTAAGACATTATCTCTACAGTTGAAAAACTTCAACACTTCATTATTTCACCTTTGTATTCTATTTTTTCTATCAATTTTCCATATATGTAGATGAAATATGTTAGAAAAGCAAAAGATGATCCTAATGGCTGTGCCACTTTTACTGTAATATGTGCTGCATAATTTTTTTCTTTCTGAATAAGCTAAATATGAAAGTAGAATGTTCTTATCTTTGTATGTGGATTGTTCTAAGGATCCATGGAGTTAACCTTGAAGTAATCAACATTAGTTCTTGTTAACTAAGACTTCTTTAATTGGGTTTATCAATGATGAATTCAAGTAGGAGATCAAGTGAGCACACTAATTAGTTGGGGATGTATGTAAAGGATGACTTTGCTTACCCATTTACTTTTGGGCCACTTCTTTGCCTGACCATGAAAGGCAAATTTTAGTATTGATAAAAATGAACAAAGACTAGCTATATAACTTATGATACAAGAATGGATTTGTGACAGGATCTTTAAAATTGTAGAACTTTAATAATATATTTCTTCCAATTGTTTGCTCCAATGACTTAAAAAAATAGGATGTGCTTGTCATGAGATATTATTTTGTGCAGAGGCCGGACGTATAATGTTGTTCGGAGATCAACTAGAATATGTCACGTTAGTGGTACTGAGCCGTGGTATCGAGCGAAGGGGTGACGTAGCATATTTTAGTTGGTCTCCGGATGACGTTCAACGTACGCACAGAATAATTAATCTAGAATGAGACACATCGTCAATTGGAGGAGACACATTAAGAAGTGAAAAATAATATCAATTATGAATCAACACTAGAATATGATTGTCATTTGGACTTAAGTCTCTTTGGAAATTTTAATGAGTGCATCTTATTGGGATACTCTTAGGCTTCGTTTGAGACGATTTTCTTATTGCTCCTTAAAGCGGCTTTTTAATATAAAAATTTTATTTGTTGTACTAAAAAGTTGCTTTAAGAAATAATAAGACGGAGCCTTAGCAAGATAAGCTCAAGAATATTTTAAGCACACTCTAGAGTAAATTCATGCTTGAGAGCTCCAATGGCTCACTCAACTTGGATTGATGAACATCAAATCAATTACATATAAGGACTAAATAAATTGCGAAAAATGAAAGCTTATGGTAAGAAGAAAATCACAAGGATGAAAGAAGATAAGTGATTCAAAATAAGATCTATCCCAGAGTTATCACTAATAGATGCTTTTAAACATTGCTCTGAAAACTTGCTAGAATAATAAGGGACAATGAGCTTTTCAGCATCAGATTAGAAGCTGATTTCCATGTCTTCTTCTGCTTCATTTCTCTATTTCCATCTTCACATTTTTCTTCACTTCCCATCGATGAAAAAATTATTACATCCGGTGAAAATACCGAGCAATACCGAGCATACCGAATGTACCGAGCGCGCTGTACCGAGCACTTTAGTGACATGGCGTTTTGTTATTGGTTTCCGGATGCATTCAGTAACCTGACGAAATAATTACTCCCATCGATGCCTCGATGCGGACATTGACCAATATTTAAAATTTTAAAATTATTAAAGTATAAGTCTTTAATAAGAGTACACGTTTTAGATATCTTGGATCTATTGTTCAGAGTGATGGTGAAATAGATGGGGATATTATCAGCAGAATTCAGGTGCTCCCAAAATTAATTTTTGAAGTCTCCAACTTATTTTTGCCTCGAGATTCGTGCCCGACTAAGATAGTTTTATAATGACGTATCATTTTTCTTCACTTCGCATCGATGCCTCGATATTGACCAATATTTAAAATTTTAAAATTATTAAAGCATAAGTCTATGATTAATTTTGAAATTTGAAGATTTAGGATTTATAAATAGCATGAAAATATTGAAAAAAATGTTTGAATTTATATTTTTAAATTTAAAAGGTTATTTAATTTTAATGCAATTTTAAATTATTTTGATTAGTAATATAGATTTCCCTTTATTAATCTACATATTTCAAATAATAATAATAATAATAGAACTTAAAGGCAACTAGAGGTGTCAAAATTAGGATGCGGGTCAGGTTCGGATATAATCCGAAACTGACTCGACATTATTTGGCACGACCTGAATATGATCCGTTTTTGCAAACGGGTCATAAAATTCAACACAAACCCGAGCCGTCAGGTTTTCGAGTTGACTCGACCTGACAAAAATCAGGTTATGGCCGAAGAATAGAAGAAGTGCATGAATGGGAGGAAGTCTACTTGTCTGTCATCTCGTCGAAGCCGGAGAAGAGGAAAAGCAAACCTTATGAAGCCGGAGACGAGGAAGGAATGAACGTCTTTGAAGTGCAAACTGCACAACTAGTGGCTTAGCTCCTAGCCTAGGGTTAGGACCACAAACCGAGTGTCGGCGACGGGACGATAAGGCCACGTAACGGCATGGCTGGGGGTTGGCAGGAGTGGCGGTCGGCGAGGCCGTCAGGCCGGGTAGACTCGCAAGTGAGGGCGGGAATCGAGCGGGAAATCTTGGGTTGAATCTAGGTCATTCTCGAGTTTTGTGATCAACTGAATTCGACCCGTTTGACAAACGGGTTGACCTTAACCTTGAATTTTTATGTCGAATTCAGAACGGATTTTCGGATTGTGTCAAATATTGACATCCCTAAAGACGTCGCTCTCTCTATGAAGAAATTATTCTATGTGAAATCCAAACGAAAAGAATTACTCAAATTATGAATATATATAATGTGCAAAAATTTAACTCATATTATATATATATATATACACTCATATATCATCAAATAATTTTTCTCTTTGTTACCCCCAAACAAAACGACGCTTAGCTTACGTCGCTCGTCATCAGCGGCGTCGTCGAGCGAACGGCCTCATCCGCATAGAAATTTATATGCGTCAATTATTCGGTTAACTAAACTTCGTGTCACAAAAGTGGTGGGAGAATCCGATTCTTTGCGAGAATGGTTGAGGACGGCGGCAGCCCGCCGGGAATGAACGGCGAGGGATCGAGTTCTTCTCCGCCTGGTTAGTCTTTCACTGGAGATCTTTCTAGCTATATCATTCTCTTGTTGTTTGATGCCTCTTCTTTGGTTATACAAGCTTGTTGGTTTCGCTTTCATAGGCCTAGTATGATATATTTCTGTAGTTGTGAAAGCTGTGAGTTAGGGTTTTCGGATGAATAGGGATTTTGGTTATGGACTGGCACTTTTGTCACCCTTTGCCATTAGTGATGATGGATTGCCGCTTTGACTGTTTATCGGTCGAATTTTGATCCTTAGGGTTACGGGACTTGTGTTTGATTGGATTGGTTTACACTTTTTTGTTTTGGCGAAGTTGATGGAATAAATTGTGATTTGTCTCGAATTGGGAGCTTGATGTGTAGAAGGGATTGGGAAGATGTTAAAAGCGCGGGAGGAGTTTCTGAATCTGATGGGGTGATGTCGTGGGGTTAGGGGTAATAGAAAAAGAGTTATATTTCTGTTTGGTTAGAAAAGCTAGATTTTCAAATGGCTTGTAGTCCATAATTGTCATCCATAAGTATCAGTCCTCCTTTCAATATTAAGTTTCTATTAAAAGAAGGCTATGGCCGGGCATGGAAAGTTGTCAGGTGTATTGAGTTTTTTTGTGTCTTCATCTCCTTGAATGTAATTAAAACATATCCCATTTGAACTGTTCCTTTCATGTCAAGGCTGCTCCATTTGGCTTTTGTTGGGAAGGTTAAGGTTGGAGCCGAATGATACTACATGTTCCGAGAGAAATAGGCACTTCTTTCTTTTGCTTTTTGTTTTCCTTTTTTTATTTGCCTATTTCTTCACTTCTATTCATGGCGACCTCTTCTTTTTCTCTGTATGTGTGGCTTTAAAGCCGATCCATAAAAATAAATGGCTATTCAGTTTTCACAAACGAAAAGTGTAATTGTGGACTTCACTTTATCTTATAGTGATTTGAATAGTACATAATCTCAATAGTTTTACATTCTTCAAAAATGTTTTTAGTTTATAATTGAGCATAAAGTAGACATGGTCAGAACCGTTTTAATTTTATTTGGAGGGATTCGGCACTGAAAACTTGAGTTCATTAATTAGAGACTTGTTGGATGAACAATTGGTTGATGCACTTGCTATTTTTTGTATTAAAGTTTTGCTGTGCCTAATTTATCTCTTGAAAATTGTTATTTTGAAAACCTTCTGGTTATAGATCTTACTTGGCTTTTTATGCTTTGGCATTTGCTTCCATCCATTAAACGAATTTGCTATTATTTCTTTTGGTAATATAAATCTCCTTCACATATGTTACTTCTAGCATTATTGTATATTTCAATTATTGTTAAAGTATTAATCAAAATCAGCTCCTATCTTCAAATTCCTACTTTCAAAATGCATCAGTTAATTCATCCTTTTGAGCTTTGTTGGGCGAAAAGTTTTTCCTCATATGATGCCTTGGGAAGATTCATTCCTATTGATGCTTCTCACACTACCATCACTACATGTTCTATCGTGTTTTTCTTTTGAGGAATGTGATTACTTAATTCAAAATGCTCACACCTCTGCATCTATTTCTTATATTGATTCGTACAATAGACTTGTTGTTCCGCACAACCTTTTTTTTATATTGATTCGTCCAATAGACTTGTTGTTCTGCACAACCTTTTTTTTATGGTACATGTCGTTGCTGATTGTTTTTCCCTATTCTTCAATATTAGTTTTATCTAACATCTTTGAATGTGCATCTTCTTCTCGCAATTGCACATGCTAAAAATACCCGAGTATTTTTTTTACCATCTTATCTTTATTAGGTGTTGCTTTTACCATACTTCAAATATAATAATTTCTTACATTTTCTCATTTTTACCAAATACATCCTTTTTAAAAATGACTTTCTATTGCCCAATACTTGGATCATAAACACAGTAGATATAATAGCAGTATCATGAAATTACTTTTTTCCTTTTCCTAGTACTAGTGAGGCATCTTTTTTTTTTAAACAATTCACCTTTATATTTAGAATTACGACAACAACAACAACAACAATATCAAGCCTTTATCCCACTACGTGGGGTCGGCTACATGAAACCTTTTTCTCCATTGTGTCCTATTAAAAGTCAAATTTTCATTTAAATCTAATAAAGAAAGGTCATTCCTAATATTTTCTAACCAAGTCTTTTTAGGTCTACCCCTACCTTTCTTAACATAAGTCAAATCTAATACCTCTACTCTCCTAACCGGATCATCGGAAGGCCGCCGTTTTATGTGACCAAACCATCTAAGGCGACTCTCTCTAATCTTATCTTCTACTGCAGCTACTCCAACCTTTTCACGTATATGCTCATTTCGCATCCTATCTCTAAGGGTAAAGCCACTCATTGCCAGGTCCCAAGTCCTGGATGAGAAAAGTGGAGGGTTGCGTTAGGTAGTCGACAGCCAGCGTAAAACTTGTCGAACAATAATGACATTTAGAATTACGAAGAGACTTAAATTGAGCTAACAATTCCTTAGTAGTGGAAATGGTGGTTTTTAAAATCAGAACTAAATATGCTGGTGGAGAAAATTAACAAAGCTTTTATTATTATTCATTCCCGATATTGGATCAATGTAAAATCCTTGCTAGTAGAATTCTGTGAAGTATGTGTTCTGCGTTTTGAAAGAACTTCATTCTTTATATATTACTCAATCACATGATCTCTAGAATAAATGGGTAGGTTTCCATGCAATCCTATCGAAACACGGATGGCTTTAGATTTTAAAAAAATGCCGATCACAAGATTCCTGTCTGACATTGTTATTAGAAACGGCAGAATGGTGATTCCTTCATCAAGCTTATGGACGATATCTATTTTTTAGATGATTTTTGAGTCTTGTATCTCGGCGTATGTGTGGCGTAGTGACGACTCATGAGAATAATTTCTTTTATTTGTATTTATTTTGTTCCTTGCTTGCTATTCTTTGCTCTTTTTATTTTTCTGTTATAAGCTCACTTTAAAATGTAACCCTTAATCATCATCGAAGATAGATTTAGTTTTGGCTAATCTTTCTTCACTTGCTGCCCTGTTGTGCCTGTGCACAGAAATGAAATAGTTGCCCTTGTTTTGAACAAAAACTTGTGGTATGAACTGTTTGAATAACCCCCCCCCCCCCTCCTTCCAAAAAGAAAAAAGCCAGCTTTCTAATATTTTGGTTTATTGAAAAAATAGGGTGGGGGTTGGGTTGTTTTCTGATATTTTACAAGCTCTGCGTGTTTCTAAACTTCTTTGTTCAGTGAGGTCTGACAGGAATTTACCTAGAGCAAACACAATGCCTGGTGGAAATAAAAGTGAGGTTTCAGAGATATGGAGTGGTCCGCAAAATCTGGAGAGATCAAGCACTGAGAAGAGAAGGCAAAACAACTCACGTACTGACCCAACAGCACAGTTATTTAATGACAAGATATCTGATAAAAAGAAGGTTTGAACATTCTCCCTCATGTTCTATCATGATGAATGTTATAGAATATCTCAAATGAATAACCTACACAGAACCTTAGTGTTTTTCCCTTTTTACTAGGCAGGCATAATGTTTTATTTTAGTAATACTTTGCATATGTTCTTCCCCATTACAAATGGTTGATTTACTTTGTTATCTTGATTTTAGTTTTCTTGGAATCATGTGGTTAGTAATTCATTCCAATACATTTCACAGGTTATTTGCTATTGAAAAATGAAAGCTTGAGAGACATCATGCACCAAATATATGGTAATATAATTTATAGAAGGATGAATAGCAAAGGAAAAAAGCATTATACACGTAGATAATATAAGTTTATGCCTGTTGTATAGACACGGGCCAACTTGAAAGTCCCAAATAATGAAGGCACTCAATGACTCATTAAAACTATACATGAAATTAAACACATGATCATAAAGTAAAACATAACTGCCGAGAAATTAACTTAATAAAATTTTAATCGTCAATTTTCACTTATTATACATAACAAAAGTGATGATAAGGAAAGAAGGCTTGAGCAATTATCCTGGGATTAAATCATGAAGGGAGGTAGTCCATCTAATTGGCTGTTTTAATGAATCTAGTAGAAGAATCTTTTCTCACAGTTTGGGCATCAAATCATGAAAAGAGATCAAAGGATTATGTTAGTTGAAGTTTTACCAGTCTCATTTCTATATTGAAATTGTTGAAGGTGGTGATTTCTAGATTACAACATTGAGATTAAATGTGAAAAGATCAAAAAGAGAATGTTTATCAAAATAATCTATCTGCACCCCACATTTGAAAACTTTTCTTTCACGGTTGAGAGGATATTTTCAACTTTTAGATACTTGGCCTTATTGAATCCTGGGGAATCCTTTTTTGAGGGAAATGTTGTCTTATAGTAGAGAACAAAAGTATATCTTTGTCAAACATATGAAAAAGCTTGAAGCATGTAGATATATTTTATAGATGAATGATTTGAAGGAAGCATGATAGGTATAAATGACCATCTGCGACAATTATAAGTCTTGTTCCTTCATCCAATAGCAAGCATCATCACATGATATGCAAAGAAGAAAAAGAAAGGAACCAGGAGTAGCCATCAGAATCAGTTGAAGAAGAGATCCTCTACCCAACCAAGGCAAGAACAAAAGAAGCAAGCCTTTTGCCAATCTGAACAAGTGCATAATAACAATACTTGCCAGCCCAGACATGAGCAAAAGAGATTAGCATCTTCCAACCCATTTGTTGCAGAAAAGAGGTAGCACCCCTGCAAAATAAAGCCAACACGGGTGACACACCAAAGATAATAAATTAGTCACATCTTTAACCGTTTACATGTGAGGTTTTGCTTCTAGTCTCCATAATATTCCTATCACATAATGTCGTAGGGAAATTCTGATTTTATTCCCAATATGTAACTCTATATGTGATTTCTTCTTACCTATGTTGCACTGATACGAATACGGTGACACGGATATGACACAATACATATACGAGACACATCAATTATTATAAATACAGGATACAGGCACGACATTATAATTTATAAATCATTCATAAAAATTAAGAAATAAATCAAAGCATAAGATTGGAAATGACAAAAAAAAAAAAAAAGCAACATCATTTATAGTCTTGTAGCTTATAATATCAAAATGAAAGTAAGCATTAAATGTCTAGTACAACAACAAAAACATAAACATAAATTATCTAACACATGAAGTTTCAACTATTCAATGGAAGGAATTATAGGATTAACTTCTTCATGGGTTTGTCTTTGAACTTCTATATCATCTTCCTGCAATCGTGTTGCTTGCTTGGCATGCTCGTGTGCTGCTCCTTCTCCTTCGATGACGACGAAGAAGACGCACGCTCGTAGTCGTGGAAATGGGAAAGCCCTAACTCACAACTAATGGTCGCGAAAATACTTAAACCCTCGCGGTCATTGAAATGAATAGGAAATACGAGTCGCGCCCCTCTTTTTTTTGTTTTTGAACTTTTGAATTTAAATATTATTTAAATTGGATACGGCTTTGTCGTATTCGACACGTATCGGTGCCGTATCGGACGCGTATCCGTATCCGACACGTGTCCAATACTGCATACCTTCGTAAATATGTGTATCAGTGCAACATAGCTTCTTACATAATAGTTTTTTGCGTAGAACATTCAATATAGTTAAACTTATATAGGTATCAATTGATCTTCTAATATTATTGACTAATACGTATTAATTTTACTTCTTAGATATTATGCATTTTGTTATTTTCTTCATCATATGCCTATTTCTTCTGACAATTCCCTCCATAGGGATCTGTGTGTGTGGATAGAAAGACATTTTATTCCTTATGCTGAAGCCACAGCCTCCTGCGACTCACCTCCATTGGCATATCCGTTGAGGTTGCAAGCACTAAGCAAGTAATGAGAATCTTTTGCAAGTTTTGCCAAAAGGGTTTTCATTCTTGAATGTCAATCACATGTGAAGGATTTTAACATTGTCCCGTTTAGCAATAGTAGGATTTGGTTTTTGAGTATTTAAACTGGCGAATGGAATAGAATTTTCTTTTCAATTACAATAAATCCATACAGGCTATCCGGTTCCAATTGACGTGTAATGCTTAATTTGTGGCCAACTAATTGTCTTAAAAGTGTACTTACACTATGTGCGGCACATGATAGCTTCTTTAGGATATCACAACAGTTATTGGTCTTGCTGCATTGTTGCCTGTATTTTTAGAGTATAATAGCAGCAGTTTTGCAACGCTTTACGTTCTTTTCCTTGATTCGTATGATGTTCTAGGGCCATACAAAACATACACTCTTTGAGTTGAATTGAGAAAAACTTTTTAGCTTCAAATATCAAATTGGAAAATTATCTTTCTTATCAAATATCTTACACCTTTTTTTTTTCACCCATGATTTTATGAGTTATGATCTTGAAACGTGTGATGTGTATTTATGCAATCACATTGTAATGCCATTTTCATTTTATACTTCAGTTTTATTTTTGGAAATCTTATATGTGACTTCACTTTTTTTTTTGCTTCAACTTCTGCACTATATTTCTGATTTCATTCAACCGTGAATTAATGTTTTCCTTATTCTTTTTTTGTTTTCCCTGTGCTTCAGCTTAAGATGCTTAATCGAATGGCTACGGTGAAAGGTGACGGAACTGTGGAAGTTGAAGTTCCTGGTGATATAGAGAGTGCAACACTTGATTTTAGACCCGATTATGTTGTTGCTGGAGCAATTGATGAAGAACCAATGGAAGTAACTGATCTTCCATACTTACCTCCTCTCCAAATAGCCATTCTCATTGTTGGCACACGTGGAGATGTGCAGCCATTTATTGCTATTGGCAAACGTTTGCAGGTTTGGTTATATTCAGTTAGCTATCATTCATCGTATGAGTACTATAAAAAAGATGGCAATATAACTTCTGATGATGCATTTTATTGCTAATTTTTTGAAGATTGAAAATTCTGCATTCCTAGTTAATGCTTCAGCTTGCATACCAAAATACTTATAGATTTCTTTCATTTAATTATTTGCACTTCCTGCTACCTAAACTTTTTGGAAAATTTATCCTTTTACGTTTCTTTTTTGGTGGACAACATAAGATGGTGGACTGCTATCCGTGTACTAAAATTTACACAATATTGGAAGGCAGAAGCTACATTTGCTTCATAGTAGCGTATGATATATCAATAGAAAACAAGCACTTTAAAAAATGAGAAAATAATTTAGTTATCCGCAAATTAGAGATATTAAATCACTTTTTTTTCTAAGAATTATTTTCTTGTGACAATTATAGAAGAAAGTTTAATAAAATTATATAGAGCTATCATTTAGGAGTAAAAGCTCAAAATAGTCCCCTGAATATTGATAAATGTCTAATTTAGTCTTAGAGTTTTATATTGCACCAATTTAGGTTTCGATTGGTTATCCCTTAACTTTTGTAAAAGGTAGTTTTAAAAACGTTGTTGGAGCAAATTGAGTTCTCAAACGCTCTATTTAAAATTGCGCAATAAGAGGCGCGCCTCTGCGCAATTTGACCCAAAACCTCCTCAAGGCTTACGCAATTCCTTTCCTGGCAGAGGCGTACGCCTCACTTGGACTGAGGCGCGCCTCAGAGGCGCAATTGCGCAATTCTGGCTGAGGCGTACGCCTCAAATATATGCTCAATACCACTCAGTACATGCTCGGTACAGCTCAGTATATGCTCGGTATAGCTAGGTATTTACTCGGTACTGCTAGGTACATGCTCGGTACCTCATAGTATATGCTCGGTACAGTTAGGTATTTGCTTGGTACTGCTATGTACATGCTCGGTACCGCTCAGTACCACTAGGTACATGCTCGGTACTGCTAAGGAACATGCTCGGTACCACTCGGTATCTTCCCATATAAACAACTTACGAACATCAAAAACAAATAGAACTTCAAAATTACTCTTACAATTAAATTTTGTTCCCCCGCCAGGGGGCAGCGCCCCCTTGGACCCCCGGCAGTCCGGCATATTGTTCTTTTCATCATCTTTAGTAATAGTTGTTAGTGTTAGTCTACTTCTTCATGAGTGCATGCTTTGATTGGAAGACATTGGACTCTATAGGAGAGGAGGAAGGGGTGAGAAGATTCCCTTGAAGACCCTTTTAGTGATGGGTCATGATTGGATTATATATGTTCTTTCTTAATTATACTTTAGGAGTTTTGATAGACTAATAATTTGTGGTTTTGTACTTTAGGACATGATTTTATTGCATCTATTTTCTTACTTTCCCCTAATTTTAATTGTCATTTAGATGTTTTTATTGTATGATAGAATCTTACTATTTTTTACATTCTAAAACCCTTAAATTCTCATTTACGCAATTCTTCGTCGGTGAGGCTTACGCCTCACACCGCCTCGAGGCTTACGCCTCGCCTCACGAACGAAAAATGCCTCGAGGCTTATTTACGCAATTTTAAACCTTGCTCAAACGGAGAAGCATATATCAAGCAACTGCTCGAAACAATAAAGAAACCAAGTTCTGCAAAAAACATTTTCACATAAGCAGCATATTCAAACAATGATAAATGCCGTTTCCAAACGGAGAAGGAGAAAATAAGTCGTGTCAAACGAGGCCTTAATCCCACAATTATAAATAATTGAGTCAATGTAGTCCCAAAACCTAAAATAAGAGTTAAAATTAACTCCAAAGTTAAATATGAATGGTATTTTTGGCATTATTTTAAAGTAAAATCTAACACGATTAAAATTACAATTAAATTAGATTTTGCTTTAAAAAAATATAACTAAAATGCTCTTCCTATTTAACTTTAGAATTAACTTTAACTCTTATTTAAGTTTTGAGATTAAATTGGCTCAATTTTTAATAGTTGAGAAACTAAATTAGAATAATATGAAACTCTGGGTTTAAATTGAACATTTATCAATAGTCGGGGGCTCAAAATGCACGATATTCTTGGGATAAGACACTTAAAAGTTGAGAAGTTGTTAATGTTCTTGGATAAGTTAATTAAGAAAGGGAAAGTTAGAACCTCAAAGTTGAATAAAATTAAATGCGGATAAAATGTGTAGTTGTTTTCAGAAGTTTGTTTGATATAGGGTGTCTTAGATTCTAGGTTCATTAATACAAATTTAGGATGGGATGATAAACAAATATTAGATCAAAATTCAAAATTTCCCAATTTTTACTTTAGGCAAAGATTATTTTCCTTTGATGAAAATTAGATAACTCATGTAATTTATTTCAAACAATAATTTTAAAGTCATCAAATTTGAAATTTCACGTGAAATTTGAGAACAAATATAAAATTTCATAATAAGCTTCATACCTCAAAAAAATAAAAATCGGCGTGCAAAGAGCTTGAACAAATCTCGATTGCGTACAAAGTAATCATAAAATAATTTAGATGAAAGAATGGGGATATGTTACGATTCTTCCTGAACCGAACAAATCAGCCCAACCTGGGCTGGTTCAGGTTTATAGGAGGGCTAAGCCGCCTCCATAGAAAGCCGCCCAAGCATGTGCCCGCACCCCCCCCCCCCCCCCCCCCCTTCCTTTAGGGTACAAAATAGAGAGAGTTAAGGGGGCGGGTAATGCATAGGTAAACTACTTCGAATTTGATTTGTTTTAGGAAGCTTTTTATTGACTTTTATTAGGAAGATATGTATTAAAAGAAGAGGGGAGGCTAGGGTTAGGGCATGCATGGTTATTGTTTTCTCTTGGAGTTCTTTTTGTGGCTTTGGGCTCTAGATTCATCGTTTAGAGATTGGGAGAGAACGATCCTCCTCTCGAATTGAGGATCAATTTGTTTGTGGTTTTGGTTTCATTCCTATGATACAATCTTCTATTTTTGGATTGTTTTCATCGGAGATCTTGAAGTTTTCTCGCTGATTTCACCAATTATTGTTTGGTTTGCCGCCAAAACATGTGCCCCCCCGGGTGGCAAATAGAGAGAGGTAAGGGGGCGGCTAATGCATAGGGAAACAATTTTGAATTTGGTTTATTTTAGGAAGCTTTTTATTGACTTTTATTAGGAAGATATGTATTAAAAGAGGAGGGAAGGCTAGGGTTAGGGCATGCATGATTATTGTTTTCTCTTGGAGTTCTCTTTGTGGCTTTGTGCTTTAGATTCATCGTCTAGAGATTGGGAGAGAGCGATCCTCCTCTCAAATTAAGGATCAATTGTATCTTTGCTTGTTCTTGGTTTTGGTTTGATTCCTATAATACAATGTATTATTTTTGGATTGTTTTCATTGGAGATCTTGAAGTTTTCTCGCTGATTTCACCAATTTTTTGTTAGGTTTGCTTGCGAATTCAAGTATTTCCCATTAGGGTTACTTGTGAACTCAAGTATTTTCTATCAAATTGGTATCAGAGCAAGTCTTGGGACCATCGGGGGTTGATTTTTTCTAAAATTTCAGCAGCAAAGCTCCATCTAGAGGAAGAAATCCTTGCTGATTTTTGGAGCAAAAATCAGAATTTTTGATGGAGACTAAGAAAGTAGATGTGTTGGAAGAACGTTTTGAAGGAGAGATGAGCCAAATAAAAGCCAGCTGGAAGATCGAATCTCCTCAGTAGAAGAAAAGGTTTCATCTGTGGAAGACAAGATTTTGTCCGTGGAAGACAAAGTTTTCAATCTTCATTTGATGGTGAGGAAATTATTAGAAAATCAAATCCAAATGGCAGCATTGGAGGCAAAGGGACCAATGGGAAGAACTACGAATTCTTATTTTCGTAGGAAGGAAAACGATGAAGAAATCATTGAGGAGAAAGGGGGAAGGTATGTAGAGAGACGAGGAAATAGGGAAGGAGTAAAGGGGGCTGGTCTGAAGATGCCAATTTTTGAAGGGAAGGACGCTTATGGATGGATCTACAAGGTAGAGAGGTACTTCGCTGTCAATGGGTTGACGAATAAGGAGAAACTAATAGCAGCAGACCTATGCTTGGAAGGGAAGGCGTTGTCGTGGTTTCAGTGGAGGGACCATAGGAGGCTTATACGGAGCTATAGAGCATTCAACGACTGTTTATTAGAATGTTTCCAAACCGATGGGGGAGGGAACTTCTATGAGCAATATGAGCAATTTTTTGCACTAGTGTAGGACGGATCAGTGGCAGACTATCGAGAGCGGTTCGAGAACCTAGCCAGTCAAGTGGAGCGATTATCAGAGACCGCATTGGAGGGAAACTTCATGAAAGGGCTTAAGGCAAAGATCAGGATGGCGGTGAAAGTCATGATGCCTCGTGACTTGGGAGAGGCCATGAAGTTAGCATAACGGGTGGACAATCAGAAGGACCTAGAGAAGGGAGCTAGGAGCAGCAGCTCAGGAGGCACTTACAGGATGACGATCACCCACTTAGCATGTAATACTCTCAAAAATATTTAAAATAATGTAAGCTTCAACTTCCTCTAAATGTTAGCTTATTTTTATATACATTCCACTTTAATTCCAAGTATTTTTGACATATAGAAGTATATGTAAATTATCAAACTAATTATTTAATTGATTGTATTTAATTGTAGTTTATGATTTAAATGATAGCTAGATTAAAGGCTAAGTATTAATAAATTATTTAATAGTATGTACTTCAATTACTGTAGCAATTCCACTCAATTACTGTAGCAATTCCACTTAAACCGACATGCATAAAGCTGATGGAAACCTAGGGCTGAGAATGGCTGAGAAGGTTTAGTGGAATTAGAAGGGTTATTATCATTTTAATAGTGTGATTTATTCTGTGGAGACATTAGCTTCTTTTCCCCACCTGTCCCTCCTTGGACATCGGAAACCAGCTTCAAGCTAAGTAGTGGGACCCACTTGTTGAGGCTGCTGCTGTGAGATGCTTTGAAGGAGGATTTCAGAT